AGATCTCCCGGTTACAACGTATCACGACTAAATAGGCTCGAGTACTACCGACATTAATTGCCGTCTAATTGATCCGAAGCCTTACATCCGTAAGCTAGCGCGGAGCAAATCTTTGGATGGTGTGCAGTTAGTTATTAAGCTAATGTAGCAGGAGGATATTAAATTACGTTGTACAAGAGTATGTGGTGTAACCATTAGGGAAATGCGGGAAATTATAAGAGGAAACACTCGCAAGTATAATCGCGGATAATTACGAAAGAATTCTAAGGCCTGTATTAATAGTTATCATTTGAAATTTGTCTCACATAAAATGCTCAGATTTTTATTCAGAGTTACATTCAAATCTTTCAGTTTCAAATTGTACAATATACGCGACATTATCTCTTTCTCTCAACTAAAAAATTTTCAACGAACTTTATACCCAAATCTGATATCAAATTCGGTTGCTTGCACTAGTGCGCACTCATTGCGCACTAAGGCTTGTTTATAATATGTTATTATATTTAAAGGTTGTCTTAAATAAATTCTCAAATATTTTTAACCAGTAATATAATATGTACAACATCCGTAAGAATCATTTTATTAGCTAAAATGTTTTTAATATATATTTAAATATGTTTTTAAATGTGTATTTAAGATACGATCTTAAATATAAGAATGTACTGTAAACAAGCCTTAGCGCACACTCAGTTCGCACTAGTACAAGCTACCGAATTCGCTATGAGTATCTCACTTGAGAAGAGTTTCAAATAACAATTATTAATACGTGTCTTAAGTTTGTATTAATAGTCGTTAAAACTTGTTTCAGGTGAGATACTCAGATTTAAATTTAGAGTTAGATGTAAGTTTCTCAGAGCTAAATCGATACAAATATAAAATGTCACATATATTACATAATTCAAATAAGAAACTCAGATCTAACTCTAAATTTAAACTTCAAATATATCGCGTGGGACAAGTTTCAAGTCAACAACTATTAATGCATGTTTTAGGCTTAATACTCGTATTTTTTAATTGTTGTTACTTAAAACTTGCCTTGAGTAAATGATAGTGAATTACTGCAGAATGTCGTTCTATTCCTCAGTTACAAAGTCCTATAGTAATTTTTACTATAAAATTCTCTTCGTGTAGGCTGCTTTTCAGTTCTGTACATTGAGAGAAATAGTTTTACTGATTTAACAAAATACCAGTACTCGCAACAAATGGTCAGTAATATAGGACACCAAATAATTTGTTGAAACAAATGATTTGTTACTTTCAATTTGCTGTTGTAGCAATACTTCTGTAATGGATACAGATGCTACTGTGCAGTTAATCCAACAAAGCATAAATTTGATTTGCTAGCAATGCAGAGGCTAGAAATGAAGAAGTTAGAAATGACGTTTAGCAAATCAATTACATTAACAAAGAAATTCTTTTCTGCAAGAATTTGGAAAAAAAATAGCAACGCATTATTATTACATAAATACCGGATTTATTTCTTCGAAACCACTCATTGTACACATATCATCTAACAGCAACTATCTCTCTGACTAAACTTGGCAGCAGTGATGCGAGCTTGCACAGGCTATCTCGCAACATGAGAGTTTCATTTGTCTTCAAACAAATCGCTTCTGCTTACGACACTTGTTGTTATATTTGTTGGCGTTGCTGATACTATATTAAGTTGTACTTACGATGAATTTTGTACATCCAACAAACAATATGATTTATATCTCAGGCAATGTATGTCCGTTCAAATAACGACTGATGAAAAATAATTTGTAACGGTGTAACTATTCAGTCTGCTTCCGTAGCGACAAACATGTTTTTATTCTGGTTAAAGTAAACTCGAATAAGATAGCCATACTTTTTTAAAGTGCAAAAAAAATATTTCTTATTGTTATTTCTTAATAGTGTTTGGCACATTACTTCACTGAAACCTACAATACCATACATAATACTATCAGAGTTAAAAGGAAAATATTTCAGTGAAATTATTTATTAGAAAAATATCAAAACATGAGCATTTTACCTAAATGTTTAAGACAAGATGGCCATAAGGAATAAATAACCCATACATATTTTATGTTCAAGATTCTGTACCTATTATTTTATAAAATAATGAAAAAAAACATATTTGACATATTCATTTTAGTATAGGATATTTAATATATATTATTTGTAAAAAATATAATACACATATAAAATAGAAATCTCTATTACAAAACTTAAATTCTAAATCAAATTTTTGATCAAAACATATTGCACATAAGATTTAATTACTGTAATATTGAAAGTAATTTTTAAAATATAACGACTTTTGTTTTATAAATTTTAGAATAGTAGTGGGCCATCTTACCCAAAATGTGAGTGAAAGACGGTTATAATAATACTTATAAATAAATAGTGAAAACGAAAACATGCATGTTATATTACAATTTACATATCTACTTTATGTATCTAACGTTGATTGCGATAGCTTAACTATAATTTATTTAACGTTACAGCAAGTTTTAGTGGACACATGAGAAATTTTACAGGTAGTCGAAAATAAAA